CTGTGACACACGTTTTGCTGATAACACCCTCATTTAGATTTCTGTGTTCTGCTGGAAATTCTAGAAAATGAAATTAAAATCCTTAATTTTTTAAAAAATGACAATTACATTGGCATGCTGGAGAGCGTGAGACTATACGTTACTAAATTCCATCAAACTCTGAGCAGTCTTTGACATTCTAGGGAGATGAAGATGGCCTATTTAGGGAAGATGAGAGGAGGGAGCAGATGAGGGTCCTTGGGTGGGGAGCCAGATGTTAGATGCAAGTTATTGTCAAGTCCTAGCTTTTTTTGGGGGGGCTACTTATTCCATTATTCAAAGTGCAAAATTTAAAAAGCAAAGTACACAAGAGCAGGCTGGATATGGACCATGACAGAAGTGTCTCATGAACCAAGGATGGTGATTAATCTGATTCTGTGTACATGAGGTTGAAGAGGAAACAAAACAAATGATCAAAACCAAGGCTGGGGATGTGGTTTAAGGGAAGAGTGACCAGCATGCAGGAGGTCCTGGGTCCTGCAAAACAAGGAACGAGGCTATTCAGAAGGATGCTCCTTGAGGTTTCATCACATGCATGCAATTTCTTATTGGTTTTCATGTTTTTTCCTCACTGACCTTTTTAGAACATTGTTTCCTTCTCCATTTCAACAGCAAGGTCTCTTCATACAGGTTTTTTTGTGTTCCCAACAGCTTCAAGCACCAGGAATCTGATTAGCCTCTTTGGTAGGCATCAGAGTCTCACTGGAGCAGAAGGAAGGGCTGGGTGGGCTTGGGGCAGGGAAGGATGCATTAGCACTTTGACACAGCTGGTGCTGGGAGTGGGCAGCCACCCTGTGTGAGGTGTCTTACCCTTGGCATGCAGGGGTGGGAAGGGAGGCCCTGTCTAAGACATCTCTACTGTAAGACATGGTTCTCACACTCTGAACTTCCAGCTTTGAAGATGTGGGTGTTTTAATTTTGGTGCTTGTCCACTGATCGAGTGCTTACTGGGCGCTGAGGGACGTGCTTTTGTGTTCCAGGTACAGGCATGCTTTTGTGTGCAGGGTACTGTCACACAGTGGGTGTCTTTTTTGGGTTGCCTACCACGCTAAGTGCTGTGTGTGCGTGTGTATGTGTGTGTGCACCCATGCATGCCCCACATTGTTTTAACCCTTTCAGCAGCCCCCCTCCCTAGACTTCATGATACCTCTGGTCATGGCCTACCATGATTATCAACTGGCAGAGCCATTCGTGTGACCAAGAGACCATAGCTACAGTGCAAAGGGAAAATGGGCTCAAAGTGATTGCGCTTCTGATCCCACGGTCCCTGCTGTAGGCACCTGCTTAATCTCACCCCCGTGAGCTTCATGTTTCTTATTTTTCAAATGGCAATAACAACCCTTATAAGATTGTGTGAGAATTAAATGAGATAATGCATACAAACATATGTTATTGGTATCACATAGCAGATTTTCAGTGAATGGCCTCTCTTATGACTCCTGAGGAAGGATAGGATCTGTGAGTAATTTATCTTTATATTCCCACAGGGCCCAATTGCAGGTGACATGTTCATTACCTGTTATCTTTTGTTTTGGTGCTTTGGATCAAAGCTAGAATCTCTTGTATGTTTAGCATGGGCTTTTCCACTAAGCCACACCCCCAGGCCCAAAGACTTCTTTTTTGTCAACCCACAGCAGCTCTGGGATAGGCAGAGCTGTCTTCCTCGGCAGTGTCCACTGCGCTAGCCAGTACTTAACTGGAATCCCGGGCCTGAGAATCCTTTGGCCCCAAACACGGAGGGAAGGAAGGACAAAAGCAAGGACCACCCTGCAGCCACAGAATTCTACTCTGTAAGAGCTTGCTGAATGGGTCTGAAAAGGTGGCTGGCTCCAGGGGCCCCCTTCTCCCTGAGAGTCACGGGTGTGGGACCAGCCTTGAGAAGGAGGAGAGAAATGGGCCCTGCCTGTACCAGCTGCAAGACCGTGGGCACAGAGAGGCTCCCATTTCAGGCTTTACTGCTCAGAACTTCCTAGCCCCTCTCCTGTTATTTCCTTTCAGTAGCAGTGGAAAGAGAGGCGCAACCTCTGAGAATGAAAGAAGGGAGACAGAAGCTTTTGACAACCCCAACACCAAGTTCCATCCTCCCAGTAGGCCCTGTGCAGGGTAAGCTGGCTTAAAAAATCATTTTCTTGCCATACAGAATTTGTACATGTCGATGGAAGATAGTGTGATGTTTCAGTAGATATATATACTGTGTAATCGTCAAAGCAGACTAATTACCACGTCCATCACCTTGAACAAGCACCATTTCAACATCTGAAATCCCCTATCTGCTCTTTCAAACACACAGAGCATCACTGTCAGATCTCTCTGCTGCTGCGGGCTCTCGGTCCCTGGCTCGCAACCTCACCCCTCTGCGGTCACTCAGGTGAACGAGCCGGGCCAGGGTGCCCCCAGACTGTGGCCCTGGGGCCAGGCGGTAGGAGTTTGGGGTTCCGATCTCACCTTTGCTTTGCATGGGCTATCAGAGTACAGACAAATCACTCTTGCTCCGGGAACCTCGGAATCCTCATCTGCAAGATTCGGTGCTGTTCTGCACTTCAGGGGCCTGGTCTGAGTGACAGCGATACAGGCATAGGAGATCATCTCAAAATTGCCCTGCTGCCCAACTCCACACATTCAGGGGCTGAGGGGTACAAAAGGTCTGGGATTCCTGGCCCCAGATTTGCTCATGCTAAAAATAAATATTTGTCTTCTTTTCTTATCATGATCAGCAGAGTGGAGAGACCCTGGCAGACCCCTAAAGGCCCCCCGGGAGCCTGTGCTGTGGACAGAGCCCCCATGGATTCTGCTTACAGGGAGCAATTTGAGAGACAAACAAAACATGAGAAGCTACCCGGAATTAACAATGGGCCAGATGGTAATGCGAGTTTGAAGCAATAAAACATGATAAATAGCTTCCTGCTGCTGCTCCTGATCAATTTCAATATTTAATAATTTCACTGCCACCACCACCCCCTCATCTGGCCCCCTCCACAAGATCCTGTGATGTCGCCCCGTATTCCGCTCGCAGAGCAAACACCTCACTTTCTGAAGGTGTCAGCAAAAAGTGACGCCGCTCAGTTGTCACATGAGCGCTCTTGGTCCCCGAAACAATAATTAACCTGCCTAATTCTGCAGGCACTCCATCGCACGCCTCTCCTCTTTGCCAGGGGAGGTTGTAAGAGTGCTGCCAACTGCAGATGCGAAAGTTATTGTCGATCCAATGACTCTTGGTATCCCCTGACTTTTGCTGTTGAATTAAGGAAAGAACAGCAGGGAACGCTGTGGTTTTCTTACTTAAGGACCAATTAATAGGAGGAAGCAACCCAGAACGGGAGGCCAGGTAGATTGGTGTTTGAGTTTTGTCCATCAGTTATGCTCCCGAACCTCAGTTTCTTCCTCTGTACAATGGACACGATCACATCTACCTCCAGGAGAATTCTAGCCAGTGACACACATGGGAAATGCCTGGCAGAGTGCTCGGCATGTCGGAAACAGCCAGCAACTGGCAGCCAGTAGCACCATGCCAAATAGCATTAGCCAACACAAAGCCACTCAGAAAATCAGCCCTGCTGTATCCCTGTGGTCGGGAGCTTTCTAGTCCACACGGGCATGGGAAAGCAAGGGCAGCACCAACGGGCAGATGCTCTTCACGTAGGACTGTCCCTGAGCGACGTTTACTAAGAGGATTAACTGCTGGGCTGGGGACGCGGCACCGTGGCAGAGTACCTGTCTGGTGTGCTCACGGCTCTGGGTTGGACCAATCCCCAGCACTGCGAAAAACAAAAACTGCCTGGCATGGTCAGCAACTGCCCCAAATACTTTCATCTTCCTTGACACCTGGCAAGCAGGCAGTATCAGTGCCCTGAAAAAGAACTTGACTAGGAGGTGCAATGGCTTTCAAGCCGAGACTGGCAGGAAATGGCCAAGCCAGTTCCAACCTGGACCTCTCAACGTCTGACTGCACCTCTTTCCCACCAAGTCACCGGTCAAGCCGCTCCGGGGTCTCTTCCTTGGTGCATCCCTTCTACTGGGAGGCAGCCAGGTGGGACGGGAGGGTGGTGCCTCTGGCTCACAGTCACTGTGGGACCTTGGTCACCAGAGCTGCAATTTGCCCGTCCGTGAAATGGGGCTCATGAGGCCTTTGGCATTGGGTGGTGGGGATACTTAATGAAGGAATATGCAGTTTGAGATGAACTGTACAAATGTCAGTTAGGGTTATTTTGTCCTTTTAGAAAATATCTCTGTGAGAAAAAAGACCTTAAACTTGTTGACCCAAAGATAGATTCTTCTCCTAATAGAATCCTTCACCACAGAATTTACTGGGTCAAGGCCTTCTGTGGTGTGTCATTCAAGGCTTTCCACGACTCCATGCACTCCTTCTGCCTTTCTTTTTTTTTGCTCCAGCCCAGTGGAGCTAGTTGGGGTGGCGTGAAGCTCAATGGCCTCTCACCTAGGCTGGGCAACATCCCTGCCGGTGTGCCCGTCTCTAGCCTGTTCGCTGGCTCACACCCTTCTGCGAAACGTCTTCCTTGGCCCTCCCTGAATAAAGAGCTCCCTGATAGCCTCCCTGAGTGTCTCTCCTTCCCATCCCTGCACCAGCATCCTTTCCTCGGCTGCTGCCACCCTACCGTGCTTCACTCTGGTCAGCCCATGGCTTAGCCAGCAAGTGCTCAGCAAATGTGTATTTCAGGGTAAATGGATGGACGCAGAGCAGGGCGTCCTGTCCCCAGTACAGACGGAGCGAAAGCCTTAAGCAGAGAAGAGGACAGCTAACGGTGGAATTCACACGCGGGGTGTGAGTTCAGCTCAATTCCTGGGATGAAGTCTCCAGTGGATAGGATCCTCCTCATCCTTCCCCCTTGATAAGAAGGAACAAAAAACTGCACCCGCCTCCTACCCCAAACTCCCAGCTTTCATTTCCCCGTGCCGTGCACGTGGGGCCTCCACAGGACCCGGCAGAGCCAGTCGTCAGGTACCTGAGTCCCGCTGGTCCAGCGTCATGGAGCTCCACCTCCTCGTGATGTCGATGTACAGGATGTCCACGGCGGCCATGGACAGGCTGCTGCTGCTGAGTCTGCAGTTCCTGCCGAAGACAGGAAGGCAAACGGCAAATGTGTCACTGCTTGGCTGAAACCAGTCCTGCCCCATCTGTCGTCCGGGCCTGCTCTGGGCTGCCCAAGTGTGTCCCCTCCAAGTGCATAGGCCATAATCCTGCGCCCCGGTGTGTGGTATAAGGAAGTGGAGCCTTTGGGGGCATTGAGGTCATGAGAGTGGAGCCCTTCTGGGTGGGATCAGTGACCCTGTACGAAGTGACACAGGAGGGTGAAGATTTCCTCACCTAGGAAATGTATAGGCAGACACAGGACCAGCCTGACCTTATACAGCCATGGAACCCCCTCCCGGGAACTCCACATTTCAAAAAACAGCCTTCCTATTGATTTGTCCCTGGGCAATACAGTTTCCTCCTGCCAACATCCAGGCAGTGGCTGGTGTCATGCTCAGAAGACCCATTCATGACAGCCGTTATCGGCACAGGCTGAAGCCATCACTCCTGTCCAGGAGCAATCTCCCGCTCTCCAGGTGCTCCCCAGATGGGTCCCCAAGGCCACATCTACAGACAGAGGCTCCATGTTTCTGTACTTCACCCGCCCTAATCCGTCCTCTGAAGATTACACATAAGTCCTGAATCAGCCACACCAAGCCCCAGATTTACAAAGCAGGACGACATAGACATAGCAGGGCCAGGCCCCTTCGTGTGGGTTGAGTCAGTGTGGGCGTGGCTGGCGGCCATGTTGGTCCTGACTTTCCAGGAGCCACCGCCTAGAAACACCAGGAGGAGGGCGTGACCCTTTAGCTCCAAACATTCTTCTTGTTTAGATGCAAGGAGGCCAAAGTCCCCGGGCTTTCAGTCTGATGTCAGCAGCTGTACTCCCTATCCAAGCCACAGAAGGAGTGTTTAGAATCGCACATCCTTTTTGAAAGATGAATATGGGAAGGGACACTCTGGCTTACTGAAAAAGCCTGCAGTGATTGTTAGTTCTTTTCGGGGGATCTCTCCTCCCCTTTCCCTTTTCCTCTCCCAGAGCCAGAACTCTCTGGGACCTGCAGGCTGCCTGAGCCCAGCATTTTAGTGAGGGAGCATCCTGGCCCATTGGAGCAGAATCTCTCCTCCCCTTTCCCTTTTCCTCTCCCAGAGCCAGAACTCTCTGGGACCTGCAGGCTGCCTGAGCCCAGCATTTTAGTGAGGGAGCATCCTGGCCCATTGGAGCAGGGGAGCTCCCAGCCGGAGTCTGGGTCCCAGGGTTCTGGCCCTCTGTGCAGATGGGAGGTGGCCTCTGGCTTGCCAGTGCCCTGCTGGACAGGATCATGCTGGGAGATGAGTCCCCAGGCGGGCTGGCTTTGCCTGGGAGTCCTCGAAGCTTGACTAGGGCTAGATGTCATGCTGAGTGAAGTATATTCAGTGCTGCTTTCAACTTCTCAAATGTATCCACATCCATTGTGCCCACTAATGATAAAGTGCTTCTTTGACTCTGCATTTGTCATTATCCCTCATGTGGACAGTTCCCTTAGGAAGCAGACAGGTGAGGCCTTGATTGGCAGCAGGACTGGGTATCCAGGAACCCCTCCCCAGGCCTATGCAGACCCCTAAGGATGGGTGGTGCCCGGATGTGGCAGGTACTCCCTGTGTCCTGGCGCACTTGCTGCCTCCCTTCCTTCCTCCCTCCCCTCTTTTCTTCCTTCTCATCCACATTTCTCAGACCATCAATTCACATCCTGCTTCCTCCTGGGGCTCCTGCTCCATATTTCAATCACAAGTCACTGTGGCAGACTTCAAAGCACATCAGTGCACAGTTATTGAGAGCCAGTAACAACATGTCAGTGGACGCCAAGCTTTTCACATCACCTGTCACCGAGATGGCTATCTTTATTGGCTTCTGCTGGGGACAAGGCTCTGGTCTCTCCAGGGGCATCCTGACACCCTTTACTGATAATTTCCAAAGTTTCATTAGAAAGGGCCACAGGATTGCTCTAATTACCAGATCGGTGTCTTCTGGACTACCTGCATCCCCCAGGACCGAGCACTGCCTGGCTTGCTCTCCAGGTTAATGGAGTATGAAAAAAGGAAACCAAACTGACCACCAGTATATAGTTATTTTTTTCTGACAGGAAGAAAATAGAAGTGTCAAACCTTTAGCAGGAGCCGTAATTTACCAAGGAGAATTCTCCATTTATCCCCTTCCAAGGTAACTCATCCTCCCTGGCAATGCTGCCGATACAGTTGATTGCAACTTCTGCTGCCAGGACAGAGGAAGGAGGGATCCATGCTGGCTGCTGTAGCCAGATGTTTTAAAGGAATATTGACCCTGTAGGCTTTTCTTGGGCACCATCTGTATGCTCTTGAGCTCTTGGAATCTCTATGACCGCTCCTAGTCCCATTTCAGTGAAGGGTAAGCTGAGGTGTAGGAGAAGGGACAGGACTTTCCTGGGATCCACGTGCACGTTTCCTCCTGAGGATGGAGTAGTGGGCTTGGGACCTGTGGGGAGGGGGCCTAGACCAGAGCCAGAGCAGAAACTCAGAAATAAAGTCTCAGGGACCAGTAGGCGAGAGCCACCAGAGCTCTCCTGTTGGGAAGCAGTGCAACAGAAGACTGGGGGAAGAAAACCAGGGCCTCAGGGTGGCGCACTTTTGTACATTTGTCCCCGTGGTCACCAAACATTCTCAATGGACTCAAAGAGGGAAGGAATGAAGCTAAGGTCAAGATATCAAAATTCTGGAAAAAATTTTTTTCATCCATCTAATCCACTCAAGGTAGAATTTATTTTTTGCCTGTAGTGTGGGCAGTATTCTGGACCCAGGGGCCAGGACAGAGTTGAAGGAGTCTCAGATTCTGCCCTCAGAAGGTGTATTTCAGAGTCTGGATTTTCTTAAAAAAGCTGGGTAGCTCCTAATCATTGACAACAATTTCCCCTTATGCTCTGGGATAGAGATGTTCAAATGACTCATGAGTAGAAGAATAAATTCCTCAGCAGAAGCTCAAGAAATACAGTAACACAAGAAGCCAGAGGTGGGCGTGGTGGCACACGCCTGTAATCCCAGCATTTAGGAGGCTGAGGCAGGAGGATCTCTGTGAGTTTGAGACCAGCCTGGGCTACATAGTGAGTTCCAGAGCAGTCTCAACTACATAGTGAGACCCTATCTCAAAACAACAAACAAACAAACAAAACAAGAAGCCAGAACAATTTCCAGGGAAGGATTAGCCAAATGTGAAACTGGAAATCACCCCCTTTGGAGTCAAGGGCATGCAAGTCTGAGGCACTTTCATTTGTACACTGAGGACAAGGCTGCTCCCCATCCCAGGCCCTCACAAGGACTTTTTCACACATGGGAAACCTGACAGTTCACATCCTTCCTCCGTGATGTAGAACCAGTTTGAAGAAATGACGTTTGTTAGCTGGCTTGGTTTTTGTTTTTTGGGGATCAAAGGAGAGAATCCCAAATCATTCATGTTCATTAGGAGCTCACATATAGAGAGATTTGAAATGATCATCATCTCCATTTCCTCTTAACTGCTGACGTCTCATGGGAAATTTAGGAACCAACTTTCCTACTCCATAAAATCCCATGTATAGAATTTCTTTTGTGTTCATCCTTCTCTGCATCAGCAAGAAGCTTATTTCTTTTTTCTTTTTCTGGAGAGGCTTCTAAAATATAAAAGCTAACAAATGATCAATATATTTTTTTAAAAGACAAAAGCACATTTCTAAACATCTGGCAAGAGGAGGCATAAGACAAGGTTGGTTTAAAATGTACGCATTGTTAAGAGTCACGGTGGATATCCTAGGCATAAAATCCTGGTATTGGTGGAAAGGGATTAGCAGGGCACGGGAATATTTTCAAAGTCACTCAGCAGTTAGTGGCCAAGGGGGAAGCAAGGCCCCTTACATTTCAATTCTAGAATGTGCTGGCCTACCATGCTGCCTCTCGGAGAATAAAACCCCTTACGGCTCCCCATTATGAAGCATATTAATATCTCCTTATGATAAAAGAGACTGGAAAGGGAAAAGGGAAAGAGAAAAAAAAGGTCCTCTAATTCAAAAGAAGACCAGGATCAGAAGCCACAGCGGTGAGGGCAGGGATTTCAAAGTGGAACGGCCCCGAGTGAAGTGCAGGGGACCTCTGCATCTCCTAGAAATAAACCCAACTGTCGAATTCCCAGGCTGCCTTCAAGGAAAACGCAACAAATGCAAATTGAGGTCAACTTCCACTGTGGGTTGCAGTACGTTCAGCAAAGGCGTCCTGTATGAGTTACATCGGTGCTCTCCCAAATTAGTAATCTGATAGAAGAAGAATAACAAGGACACATTTTCCCCAAAGAAAGCTGTCAAGCTGAAGAATCAATTAGATAATTTCTCTTTCCCAGAGAGAGAAGCATCCATACCCCAGCAATTATTATAAGACAAATTTTTAAAAAGAAAGAAAAAAGAGGTGCTTAATTCCTGGTGATATGTACCGCGGTTATGCGCCTCCTGAGGAAATGACACGAGAGCTGGTTCGATAAGACTTAAGTCTAGACAAGAGAGTGACAGTTCATTATTTCTCATTTCTTGGTGAAAAAGAAGGATAGAATACGGCCAGCCTGGCATTAGCATAATTCACTCGGAAAACTGCTGATCTATGCATCACATGGTGAAACATGGACCCTGCAAACATATTCGGTCGGGCTGTTGTTATTTTTTTTCTCTCTTTCTCTTCAAGAGACCTGGAGAGAAGGTGGGTAGTAGACATGAAAGCCAAGTTCAACTTCTGCCCTGTGCGTGGGAGGTAGAAGAGGCGCATATGTACTTCGCCAGTGAGTCTTTTTCAAAGTGCTCCTGAGAAGGGCACTTGGTTCAACTTAACATATGGCATAAATATTATTAATTGATAATGAGGCAAAATTTAAACCGAAGTGGAAAGGCGGGGGGAGAATAGTTGTTAGCAAGAGAAACTGCTTGCTGTTAAATTTAACTAGCAAGACCAAACCTATCCAGATAAATTTGAGAGCGGAGAATATCATCATTTCCCATTAAGTTGCTATTGGGATTTCTTGGCACATTTTAAAAGGAAAAGTCTATTAGTGGCTGTGTGATATTTTGTCCATTTCTGCCTGCATCCTTAATTATGACAGACATTTGTCGAGTGGAGAGGGAGGCTCGTCGTCTCGGGTGGCCTATTCCCCACCTGAAGATGGTGTTCCTTCTCCAATGTCAAGGTCACCAAGGCTTCACCGACAGCTCGGCCACAGCCTGGGAACATGGCCACAGAGACGGAATAGTCTCTAGCATCACAAAAATTGGTTTCTCATGCAAATGCCCTTACTTATAGAGAACAAAGGGATGGGAAATCAGAAAGCCCATCACATAGAGACAGATTGGTAGCAATATCTTTGACATTACCCTGTTCCAGCGTGAGAGCACTTTTTAAAAGAAATCTTCTTTCCTGGGCCGAATCTCAGTTCGGTTTTTTCTTCTAGGTTTGGATAAACATCACAGATCTCTGAATGGGCGCCTCCTTGGCTGTCACACCAGAAGTTACCCTCCACCCCCGTCATGGCCACCACAGGCAGCCAAGCGATGGTAGAACCTACAGAGAAGTTAGAATTCACTTGAATTGCCAGCCTTAACCTTTATATACATTTTACATAAAAATCAGAGAATCTGGCTTCTTTTGAAGAATCCCAACCAGGGAGTAGCCCTTCCCATACACAGGATAGGGCTGAATGTCCCCCAGCCTGCCCCCTGCTTTTTCCTGGGAGATCCCTGTGTTGGTTTAAGCTGCCAGGGGCTCAGGAAGAGGCAGAGGCCGGGTGGGTCTCACAGGGTCAAGGTGCCTTGTCGCCCCTAAGAAGTCCACAGGGAGCCTGGCTGCCTCCTTGGTCCTTCTGTCCTGAATTGAGACAGTGGTGCACAGTGCTGCCCAGAAAGCTCCTGCCTTGCTCCAGAAGGTCTGGACCCGTGGATTCATCATGCCACAGTGCCCTACTCGCTCAGCTGCGCCATTCTCCTGGGTCTCTGTGCGCTTTCAGAGTATCTCAAGTACCCTCCTGAGCTGTGTCCAATGTCACTGGCTATACCTTTCCATTCTAAGGCTCAAGAATCACAAAGCAGAGCAGAGACTGCCTACCAACCTGTTCTCTTCCTCTGTAATGGAACAGCACATACACAGAAAGAATATCTATTTCCTAGCTTCCCATGTTACTGGCCAATAAGCCGGAAGTGGATAGAGCTTCCAGGAAAGATTTGAAGGGGACCTAATTTATCTGTTAGAGACCTTTGCTCTTCTTCCCTTCTTCCTACTGGGAGCTCAGCCATGTTGGCTGTCTTGAGACCACAAGACAACTCCGAAACTGGGAGCCCATGCTTAGAAAGGGTGAGCAGAAAGACAGAAAGTGGGACCTTGTATTTTGGAGTCATTAGCCAGCCCTAAAATATCTTGTTAAATAAGAGAAAAATTCACTATTTAAGACATTTCTGAATAAGACTTTTATTAGCGAAAGTCAAATGCAGTTCCTACATGAGTCAGAGCTTATAAAGGCAAATAATAACATGTCCCTGCTGACTTCCTTGAAAATTCCCACTGCCTAATGGAGACAGTAATCACAAGACTCCTATGAACCAGGCAATAGGCCAGGTGCTTTATGCAGTGTTAAATCCCAACTCATAGCAACTGCACAAGGCAGGAATGATCATCCTCATTTTGTGGGTAAAGGAACTGAGACTCAGAGAATATCAGGGATGTGCCCCAAGCCACACCATCATTAAGCGGTACGCTTGAACCTGAAGCCAAATCGGATCCAACCCCAAACCTGTGCTCTTTGGCTTTCCTTCCCCCGAGCCTCTCACCCTGAAACAAACATAACGCCCTTCTCAAAAATCACCTCGCACACACCTTATGGTTTGCTCAGATGCCGGAAATTCCTGCCAGTACTTCTGTTTTACCATCCTATGTGGTATTCATACATGAGGGAGTCCACTCTGCCATAAAGACAGATAGAATTGAGTCATCTGTAGGAAAATGGATGCACCTTAACTACAGCGAGAGTGAAATCAGACACACAAGCTTAGATATCGCACGAAACCCAAGAATGTAAATAAAGAGCAAAACAGAAGATATATAATGGGAAATAGGGAGACTGATCTTTTTCAAACGGGGCAGGGATGAAGAAATGGCAGGGGGAGGAAGGGAGAGGGGTTAAAACAAGAATTGCGATGTATGAGGTACATGTCCTAACTCCACACGAGGGATATCCTGCAAACAGGTACTAATAGTAAAAACTGAAAGAAGACTATCTGAAAGCTAGAGTTAGAATTTATACACTTTCTCTGAAGAAAAGTCTATGACAAGAATGGTTTTCAAATCAAGATTTCTAATTATTTGCTTTAGTGAATAAAACTGTGAAGAGTGTGGTTTTGAGGAGGAAGGCAGAAGTATTAAAACCAGCAACAAGGAAAACAGCAGCACTGAGGGGTGGCGGAGACTTTTTTGAGGTGTACATGCTACAGTTAGCTGCTAAGGGGCAATCCACTGTGATACCCATTCGTGTTTGTTGAAGGGGTCTAGAGTCATTTACCTTGTTCCATACTCTGTACAGGACCCTTTGCACATGTTTTATATAAATATATATTCTTTGAACATGGTAGGAAGAAACTAACATTCATTGATCACCAGTACACGCTAGATGTTCCTATCCAGTCTTAACTAATCTCACTCACACACACGATCCTAGGCCATAGGTGCCTTTGTCCGCTTCACAGAAGAAAGTCCCTGAGGTTCAGGGTGATCATGAGGTTGCCCACAGGGTAGAAGCAAAGTAATGATTAATTTAGGAAGCTCCTCACTTTGTAGGCTGCAGCAAATGTCCCACTTCTTTATTATCTCATGTTTTATCTTTAGAATTCATGCAAATTTTGTGTTATTCCCTATAATATGACCATGTTATTTTTATATTAGAATAAACGTATTAAATTATTTATCAGTTGAATTATTTAACTTTCCCTTCCTGAAATTGACACGTTGGAAAGTTGTGCCTTGTTGTTCTGTGGTGGCCCCATAAACACTCAGCCCACGACTGCACACCACTGTGAGACCCCCGGATTGAGGAGCATGAGGTCTGTCATTCACTTATTCGTGCAGCAAACAAGCATCAACTACATGCCAGAGCCAGTGCCCACCACGAGGCCAACCCAACCTCAGACAGTGTCCTCATCCAGCATCATAGAGTTTCCCAAGAGCAGTCAGGGAGATCTGGCCAGCCAGTTAGGGGACAGGAGGCTCGCCACACTGACCTTATGAAGGTACGGAAACCGGTTGGTCCCAACTTCATCGTCCCCTTGATTCCCAGGAACCGGATGAACAAATTTGCCATCCTGTCCACCAGGCGCAGGTAGTTGAACTGTTTTGCGTACTTGGGGAACACCTGCTTGAGGCAAATGGAGGGCAACTGGGCTTCGGGGTTGGTGTCAGGGACGCCAGCCAGCTCACTGTCCAGAGGGTCTTCCTTCTCGACTGAGGCTTTCTCCAGCTGCTGAGACCTGAAAGATACGAGGAAGTCGCGATGCATCATTCCTCCGGCACCCGCTCCTTCCCCTGAGATCTGTAGCAAGCTCAGTGGGTGAGTCTTATCCCTGTTTTTGCTTTACAGTCCTCAAAACGGACCTCTGGGAAGCGATCCATCCAGGGTTACACAGCTGGGGTGCAGCAAATCCAGGAATTGAACCAAGGGCAGAGCTCTGTATGACTGGAAACTTATGCCTCCTCCATTCTACCAGCCTGGTTTCCCAATATGGAAAACCTCCCTTTCTCTAGTCATGGTCTAAGAGAATACTCTATTATGGAGCAGTCTGGGTTTGATTTCAAACTCCTACTTATGGGTAGTAATTGAATAATTAAGAAATATAAAAATCTCATTGAAGGCTGGCAAGGAGCCACAGGCACAGTTCAGTGAACAATTTGCAAAGATGCATCAGTTACCCGATTCTGGGAATAGGAACAATTACATTTTCTGGCTTAACTGTTTTCTTATTTGGAACTCATACAAAAAATGATCATAGTGTTGTGATTCCGTAGTCTGGAGATTTTATTCTAAAATTAATCTGATAGTTAAGAAAATCAGTAGCTAATAACTCACACCCATTTCTAGTTTGGAAGGCCCTTCTCACCTTCAGACCCACATGTCATTTCCACCCACCCTAAACCAGAGTCAACGTCAACTCTTCCTCTTCCTCCATTTCCACAGCTAGTTTCACCTCCTTAGTCCTTCAACCCACACCCAGTCTGCCTCTGCCTGGGCTTTGACAGCTCCCACATAGGCTGCAGACCAGGTCCTCCTGCCTCCAGCCTTCCTTCTACTGAACAAAATATCTCACAACTGCAACTTAAAAGGGAGAGAGGTTTAATTTGGCTCATGGTTTCTGAGGATTCAGTCCATGGTCTACTGGTTCCAAAGCAGGAGTCTCATGGCAGAAAGGTGTTGTCGAGCAAAGCTATTTAGTTCATGGTGGCCAGAGCAGGGGAGCAGGGCTAGAGAGGAGGAGGCCAAGGACCATGTATAGTACCCAAAGTTACACCTCCATGACCCACCTGACACCCCCAACAGCACGCTTCACTCTAGGTGATTCTCAAGCCAGTCAAGTTGACACAATTAAGCTTACCCGCCATACAATCCCTGATTCATCTGCCAGGCTGGCATCTGAAGCAGCCTCTGTCAAAGCACACTTGGCTGGGCCATTTATTCATTAACAATCCAGGATTCCCAAGACTGTGGTCCTCATACTGGCACTCAAGGACTTTCCTGGCTTCATCCCAGGCCTCCTCATTTTCAGCTCCTGCCCGGGAAGGTATACCATTCCTGCCAGGTCTTGAATACTGCCTAGAGTCGCAGACCAAGAGCCACTACACTCCTGGCCCCTCTTTACACCCAGTATCTCTTTATGTACCTTCTGCTTGGCTCCTTTTCCTGTTCCTGGCTCAATCAGAGGTGGGACTATAGAGACCTTTTCTCACCCGTTGTGTCCACTCCTGAGAGAGGACACTGAGCAAGTTAGACATGGCCAATGAATACTATCCAGCTGATGAGCTGATCCAGGAGAATTAGAGCAGTCTCATGGTACTGAGATCACCACCACTGCCATTCTTTACTCCTTCTCTTTATGCAATGCCCTTGTGCCCTATGTTCCCATCCAAGCCAGCTTGCAATTGGTTCCCAGGTTGGGCCATATCAGTGACTTTACCTGATTTCCCTGGTCCTAGCTACCTGGCACACTTTTGCTCCATTTTTAAAACATGCCAGGGTATCTCCTTTTCCATACAGGTGGTCTTAGACTTGGGTGCCATTCCCCTTGTCACATCCGCACTGCATTGGTTTCTGTGCCAGTCTCTGCCACTATTTTGTGAGCTCCTTAGAGGCACAGGTCACATCTTATTCAATCTTATATCTGTAGGACCTGGCACGTGTCAGGTGCTATTTCACTGAATTTTTGAATTGGGAAACTTCACTTTTAACAGCAATGTGAGCACCAATGAAAGTATCAGCATTGTGATGCTTGGCGCCTCATAAAACCCCTTTAAATGGCAAAGAAGTTCAACAGAGAAACACCTTGCTTGACAACCCTGCGCAAATGGTCCTCTCCTCATGCAAGTCCTAGGAGCCAACCTCTGGGACACAGTGCTCCCTCATGTGACTAGCGAGCCGCAGAAGTCCTGTTCACAGTTCCTTCTAAGTAAATCTTAACACTAGTCTCAAAGCAAGGACAGGCAGAGGACAGACCAGAGCAGCATGAGGAAAAATCTTTTTTTAAAGGTCACAGTCAGGAGGGTTTGGGGAAACAAATGCTCTCTCTGACAGAGGAAAGCCCTCCTTCCTTAGAGGAGGCAGATGTTTCCAGGGCTGCGCAGTTTTCCTCCAGCAAAAATGGTTTTGTCATCCTCACCTTGAACTTCAGCCAGTAAATAAAAGTCAGGTGGTTACTTTTCAGATGAAATGAAGTGTTTTCCCAGTAAGGTTGTAGGAAGAAAAATGAGGGGGAAAAGTGACACTTTTGCTGGAAATTAGCTCTTAAATTACTGGATAAGTGGCAGTCAGTGACACGAGTAGCAGTCAGGAAGTTTTGTTGAAGGGAAGACTAGGAAATGCACAGTTTGAACACTCCAGGTGACAATGAGAATAGCTCAGACCTGCCCCACATTTGTGATCTCATTTGCTCGTCCTGCAACTCCATGGAGGAGACTTTGATTATGCCCCTGTTCCAGATGGGGAAGCTCAGGCTCAGGAAGGTGTAGCTCCGCTTTGCTCTGGCTGAACTGGGATTACGAATAAATTCTTCTAATCCAGCATTCTTTCTGTTCTGTTTTTTAACCGCCATTCTAGTTTAAAACACATCATGATTCACATTGGGGGTTACAAGATCCTAAATACTACTATTTATTTTTATATTTTAAAGAGTCTTATTTATTTATTTATTTATTTTTAAGATGGCAAGAGTAATTCATGCTCTCTGTAGGCATTTTGAGAAATATATAAGGGAATCAAAACCATTGGTAATCCCACAACTCAAAGATAAACATTAATGCTGATATCCATATTTATAATTAGTATAACAATTTGTGTAGTTTAAATCCTCCTTTTTGTGCTTTACATTACATCATAAGTATCTTCCCAGAGCACTTATATTCTCATAAGCATGTTTCCTGTGGACTTGTAACATTCTGTATTGAGCCTGAACCACAATGTAATAACCATTTCTCCTCTGCTAGTGTCCACATGGTCTGTTATTTGACTAAATAGAGCCTAGCGATCAGTCCCCTGGGTGCTGTGCTCCCTCTAAGGAGCATCAGATGTTACCGCTAGGAGTGGCTTTGGAGATCATTCTGTCTACTGGTATCATTTTGTTGTTATTGTGTAAAAATTTCAATAGCATAAAATCTACCATTTCAACTACCTTAAAGTGGTCAACTCAGTGGCATTTGGTACCTTCATAATATGTGACCATTACTCTTCTCTATAACAAGGTGGAGAGAAGAAATTTAAATGCAGGCAGACAGTGACATTAGCACTGGCAGGTGGGTCATTTAAACAGCGCATCATTCAGGGTGGTGGTCTTAGCTTGGGTTGCCCTAGTGATGAGGACCCTGTCATCACCCTCAGACTGGACAGGTTTTCCCACTGTCATAGCGGGGGATGTCTCTGTCCACCTTCTGCTTGCCCCGGCCCCAGGGCTGTGCAGAATGACTCTGTTTTCTCTTCTATGTGACAGCCTTTCACATTCCTTTCAAGGGTTTCTGCATCCATTGGATGACTACTATTCTCCATCCTCCTGAAACCCAATTAGTAACCTCAAGATAAAAAGGGCCCTAACAGCCACAGATAACATTTTCATGGACTCTGAACCACAAATTCAAAGGAAGTAGTTTTATTCAACTTGGAGAGGGCACTAAAAACATAGCTGATATATAAGAGGAAATAAAACAATGAGAAATGGTATCTTTGCTAGAGATAATTGCAATGATCACATTGAGATCCAAGCCATCACAAATACTGTAAAATCTTGTTTTTACTTAATAGCATTTTAATGGAAATGTTATGCTTATGAAACAAAAGTGACTGGTAAAGAAAATATAAAGCAGGCTTACTAGTCCTTTGTGTTCATTCTTTAAAAATTGAATTTGGTATATCCTTAATTCATTATAATAAAGGAAAGAATCTTGGCATGTTTTATCTATTATCTTTTTTCCAATAGAATTGAATTATTTTTCATTTAAATTCTCATAAAAAATACATCTCTATTTTGTCTGGAAAACTGTTAAAAAACCACTGCCATTTACTGTGGGCCTACTGTACATCAAGCATTGTATTAAGCAGTTTACTATCTCATTTGTTTCTCATAACAGTTCTATGGGGTAGGTGGAAATAATGCCTATTTTACTGATTAGAAATCCAAAGCTCAGAGATACTGAATAGTTGCCCAAACTTACATGATTGGCTATGGAACCAGGATTTATACTTAGGACTGTCTCATTCCATACTCCATGTTAAGTTCACCATATCATTCTTATATGTATTTGATATTTAATCAAGCCAGAGATATTTCTTCTAATCTATAAATTGTATGTATTCCCAGAAACTAACAAGATAGGGATATAAATGTGGCATGGTCCATCTTAATTATTTTTCTCATTGCTAAGACAAAATACCCAACACCCAAAGTTAAAAGAGGAAAGGTTTATTTTTCCTCACAGTTTGTAGAGGTCTCAGTCCATAATTGGCTAGTTCCCAGGCAGGTTGCACGGCAAAAGGGCATGAGAAACAGTTCATGGCAGGCAGAAGGAAGCATAAGCAGCGAACAGCAAGCAACAACAGTGGCCCTCTTTCTGTCCCTTCTAGTTTATCCAGGCTGCATGACCTTAGGATGTAGCACTCACACCCAGAACTATGCCAAACCAATCAGTGGACTAATTTAGCAACCTCATGCCCTCAATCCCAGCATTATACAATTTGATCCAAGAAGCACTCACTGTAGATCTAGTCACCTCTAAA